CAAATTGTGAGCAGTGAAGGAATCTGGGAAGGCACAGAAAAGCTGGAGGCTAGAATGTGCTTTAGAAAGATTAGCCTGTAGCGAGATTAAAGTAGGGTAATAGCGAGGACAAGACTGCAGGGACTGTGGTGGTTAAGGGCTGAGCCTATGGGAAGAGGAGTGGAATGATTTCAAAAGCACTTATCAAGTTTGAGGCATACAGCTGTAGTTTTGGAAGTATTAAGAAGCTTTTACATAGATCCAGCCAATTGTATTAGAGGCAGAGGTGTAGGAGCCCAACAACACCCACGCTGCAGTAAAGAAGGAATTAGAATCGTGCAGGGTGAGAATGGAGGGCTATCTGCTCAGTCGGCCAACAGGCCAACACCTTTCTTTCATTCTGGCCATTCCATAGAGCAGACGGCACAGCCTCCTTCTGATCAGCCAGAGTTGAGGCTGACTCACTTTCCTTTCAGTCTTGGGCTAGGTGTTCCAAAAGACTGCTTGCAGATATGTTATTCTCTTTTATCTACTGCCACCTAGTGTAGATACAGAAATTTTTTTTAACATTTTTTATTGATTTATAATCATTTAGAATTGTTTACCAATGAAAAATACAATCTGGTTTGCCATCTGAAACTGCAACTACTCAGAAAAATCTAAATCACATGGAAATGGTTGGCAATTCTCATGGAGAAATCCTTGAGGTCCTACAAGCTGGGCAAGTCTTGATGCAACAATATTTTTCTATATTTTGCTGCAAGCTGCTGCCACATGCATTAAATGGAGCAGAAAATTCTCACTAAGCTTATAGACTTCTCCATGAAGAAAAATGCTGAGGCAGTGACACGGTTAAGTTCTTTGCAAGCTCACCTCCGTGAATATTAACAGTACCTTTTAGCTTTCCACTTTTATTAAAGGAAAGAGCCCTTCAATAACTGCAGTTGCCTTGAAGTGGAGTAGGCTGCCTTATGAGAGGCTGAGTTCTCCATCACTGAATAAGGGATTCATGCACGAGGAAGGGTTAGTATATATGACTTCACAGGTACCATTCCACTTTGAAGTTCTGGTACATCCACAAACTGAGAAGTCCATGAGTACAAACTCTGCCACTAACAAATTCTGAAGGGCAAGAAATCTGCCTGTCTTGTTCCAGTGCAGTATCTAGCACATAGATACTTATTATCCTTTAACAGGTTGAAGTTAAATTTTGATTCTATTAAAGCACTGCATCGAAATAGTTAAATGTGCAGAATAGAACCAGAGTGACGAGGCTGAAACTCTCAAGTTGCCACTTACTAGCTTTAAGATTTAACTTACATGTGCCTCAATTTCTCATGGGATAAAAATGGTACTTACTCTATAGTTTTAAGGAAGATTTAATGACTTAATTTATGTAAGGTAATTAGAATAATGTTGCACATGTTAGGTATTATTATTATTATTACTGCTATTGTTATTATTAGGTAATCTCTGAAAAACATTTTTTGAGGCCCAAAACAACATATACCACGGCTAAAACTAAAATACAAAATTGGTAGAAGAGTGGTCATTTTTTAATCATAAATAATAATGTTTCAACCCTAATAGAAGGTTAAGATAAAGACCCAATCTCAGGCTCCAAGATTTAAACTGATCACCTGTAGTTTTCAACTATAAATCACGGCCAGACTACCACAAAATATTATTATATAAATATTTAGTTAAGTTAAAGGAAGTTTTCCTTCCTGCTCAATATTGTACAGCATTTCCTATGCAATTTGTAGATTAAGGCAATCTCACCTGGCCATTATAGAACTAGAAACCATCAAAACATTAACAAATTCTTCTCAAATAACTAACCATGACCCCTACTTACTATCTTCTGCAATTATCCTGGAATAGCTACTTCGACCCCCTTCTGTTACCAAGATCTACCAGCATCCCTTAGCACGGCTCTACATCTTCCCACCGAAATAAGCAAAAGAGCAGGGCACTGCTCGGGAGAAAAGTGTCAGACACACACATTAAGTTTTAGTTCCTCCTTCAAGAAGCAACGTTTGCTCTTGTCTAGGGGCTGGACGTGCAGCTCAGCTTGTGACAGTCTGAAGACGACGAAGTCAGCATAAATTAGTGATGTGACATTGTGCAACACAGGCAGGGTTAAGATAGCTTATTTTAAAAATGGGCTTCTGTCCCACCCAAAAAAGAAAGAAGTAGCCCTTTTGTTTTAACTAAGACAGAGTGCCCAGGCTAGGCGCGGCGCACAGGCTCTGCAGTCAGATGAACAGAAGGGACGGAAGAGAGGTCTGTCTGACATGGTGAAGGGAAAGACTTCATGCTTCATGCCTTCTTCTCTCACTTGTTCCAAGAGCAAACTGCCTATCACCCACTCTCTCCATGCAGGAAGCAGTAGTTTATAAATGCAGTCAGCGGGTATCCAAGGTCTAACACTACGCAGGATTCCTCACCTTCAAACAAGAGGTACCCTGAAGGCTGGCAAGTGGGTGGTTTTTGCAAAAGTCCAAACAGTCTCACTCAGAAGACTGAAGAGTATGCAATTCAAATATTTGAGCCTCACAGAGAACACAGAAAATACAAATCATAGGAATGTTATGTTACTTCAAACCCAGAAATGAAACATTCGTGGTTACTGCAAAAAGAGAAGTCAGGGAAATTAGGTCACTTAGATGCCACTGATTTCACCTCATCTAGGAATATGTTTTTACTCTTTTAATCAGGAACTCTGACCTCAAAAAAAAAAAAAAGTTTTGCTAGTTTCCAGACATTTCCAAAGTAATGTATGTAAACTGACCTTGCCTAAAGCTTTGGAAAAAAATCTATCTATCAAATTTAGTATTTCAAAGTAAAATTTGCTCATCTTAAATGAACACAATACAACTTCTGATTCATACTATTCTATTCTAAGTGATATTTTAAAATTAAGAGTCTTTTGGCTCTGGGAGGGATTACCTGACATTCATTTGAAGTCTTTAAAAATAATTTGATATTTAACAATTATTCATTCATAATATTAAAGATGGTCTCTGTCCAGAAAACTTTACACTCATGCTTTATTATAAGAAATTTTTAAGAAAAAAAAAAGAATAGTTGGTTGTTCATATGCAGAATCCTATCACTTCTCTGCATTTTATATCACAAAATCTGAATTCTGACCAATTTAAGTCATATAGTATACTTAATTCAAGTATACAGTAAATGTAATGTAGTAGCTGATATTTAGTAAGTGTTCAATAAATACTGTTACTTACTGGGCATCCAGTAAGTACCAAGCCTTTTGCTAAATATGCTAAAAACAGAAAGTGGAGTTGTAAAGACCGTCTGTGTGTAAAATCTACATACTCTCCAAGGACATTCTCTCAACACTCTCATTTTTACGAGCCATATTTAGAGTGGCAAATCATAATTACTTGTTTAAGCTTAGGAAGACAGAGCATTAGTTCCCCCTAATCATCTTTCGTAACAAAGAAAAGGGAAAGAAATGGATTAACAACTCTTTATGAATTGGTCTCTGATCCCCTAGGATTAGAAACTGAATTATATATTCTGACATCTGTTTTCCCAGAAGTGCCATTTTCTAAAATGTTTCTAGGTAGATAAATGATAGAGACTACAATTGCTACTATAACTTTACTTCTATCCCCATTCAGTAAGTATGTATGAGCTTACAGATAATTTAAACCGTACACAGAGGCTGACTTTCTTAAGGCAACAAACCTTATTTAGTCACAGTGCTCATCAATCTGTACAGTGTAACTGAATTGTAATTCCAAGATGAAAAGCCAGTTTTTAGGAGATTTTTTAAGTGTATATGTGAAATATGGGTGGAGAGTGGCTCCGCATGGCCTGGGTCATCCTGACCTAGCCACACTCAGCAACCCAGCTGGTTTTACTGCTTTCTGGCGGCACTGTCAGAGCAGAGTTCCTCAGACAACTTGTTGACATTTTAAAGAAAGCCTAACACTCTTAAGTGGGCTGGGGCTGAGAGTAAAGCACAGAGAAGACGGCTGAGCTCTTAGCACTGAGGCGGCGTGATGTCATGGAAGCATCACTGAGTTAGGAGTAAGGAGACTGGGCTCAGCCTGCAGCTCTGCCACCCTCAACTCTGGAAAGGGAGGCGGCTGAGCCGGCGAGAGGGCAGCAGCAATGATCACTCCCAGCTGAGCCACAGAAACACTAGAATAAAAAACATCACGAGCCAATAAAGCCAGCTTGGGTAAAACAAGAAAAGGAAACGCAAGTCAATTTAAAATACATTTCACATACATTTTATGTGATGCATACGCTCACAGGGGATCAACAAATGCATCTACAATTGCACAAACTGAAAGAAAAATGTGATGAACCAAAAACAAATTGCATTACGTTCTTTCTTTCAAAGAAATCAAAAGGGAAAAACAGTAATACAATCAGTGGCACGAAGAAGTAGTAAAGTAACAACAGTAAACACTTTAGAGGATATGGAAAGATGATCGGAAGTTAGAAAGGATAAAAATTATAGCAAAGAACTGAAAATAAACACCATCATGGAAAAACAAGGAAAGAACTCTCCAAAATGTGGCTAGGTTAAAAAAAATCTAGAAAACAGTCCAAAAGGTTTAAAAGTTATAAAAACTTAAACTTATGTACTTGCGTGCACACACCCTGAGACTAACAGAAATGCCTGAGGTAACAGAAAAGACCAAGACCATGCAAACCAAAATTAAAGAACTGACATGGGGTGAGGGACCCAGAGGCCACAGAAGGTAGTCTGGAACCACAGCATGAATAACAAGCAGGAGGCGGCTGTAAACTGCCACTTAGAAATGATGTCTTAAGAATTCAAAATATCTACTCTAAAAGCAAAGAAAGACTTTGCCAATGACGGGGAAAGATTTCAGATGAATAGATAATAGTGATTTCCTGATAGCAGCTCTTGCTGAGAGAGAAGAATTTAAGAAGAATCAAGCACAATGCTAAGAAATAGACTAAGACCAGCTAAGTATCCAGAAAAGATGAATTTTTTCTTCGAAGGGAGTAGAACATTTAAATCTATAGGACCTAAGGGAACTTGTCAACAAAAATTTAGAGCTAAGTAGATACTAATATATTTGAAAATATATGTTGGAAAACAGTAAAACAGCCCCGATTATTAGGTTCAATGCTTAAATCTCTTCTTTTCACTGTCCATGAGATTTTTTTTGTTGTTATAAAAGGGCTTCAACCTACCTATTTCAGTAACTGTTATAAAAATTCTTGTCCCTCAGCCCTTTCTCATGACAGCCATCACATGAGCTCCCTCAACACGTCTAGAATCTGAAGCTCGCCCAGCCTTTACAGTCACCAGAAGCCTTAGATTTAATTTCTCATTTCCCATTATCATTAACATATTTTTAAAGTTTTATTTCTAAGTCTTCAAGAAGCACATATGAGAGGCTTTAGTACTGTTACACACTATCCTATTTATGGTTTTATTTTATTAGTAAAAGTAATTGTTTCTTGAAGTGCTGCTGTCTTAAAGCAGGACTAGATTTTATAGAATTAAGTATAATTTCAAGCATCTAAGTTGACCAATAGCTCCCAAGTGTGCACTTACAAATGGTAGGACAAATATGCACAAGGTACTCACTTCAACAGTTTCAACTTTTCGCTCATGGGGATGTGGTGTTCTTGGGTAGATATCAAGAAGATGTGGTGGTGAATCAAAGTGCAATCTTTTGAGGTTTCTTTTAAAAATATCTTTACAAGTCAGTTCATCAAAGTTAGTCCTCCATAATAAGACCTATGAAAATTGATCAGGTTCGCAGTTACTGATTTGCATGTACAGGCAGAAGTGATTTTTAAAAAATTAACATATAGAATTGTCTCTCAAAATACTCAGGAAGGCTATATATATATTCCAACAATGTTACTACACCTTTTTTTTAAGGGTGGTAGGGAGAGATTCAGCATTTCGAATTGCCTTTATGTCCATGTTAAAATTCATATTAAGAAAATACCTTATTCCTTAAAGTCCTCTCTTTTTTTTTCCCCCCCAATGCCCAAAATCATGTTTTAGGCTTTATCATCCACTTTATTCAACAAGTCTGGCTCTGAATGACTTTTGATCATTTCAAATAAATGCAGATTTCCTACACAAACAATTTAAATTTACCACCCTCAAGAAGCTTAACATTTGAAAAATGAGACATACAGCCAATAGATTAGGCAAAAATTCAAGTGAAAGGCCCACACCAATATTAGGCTCTAGGTTCATGTACAATTAAGTGTAAAGATGAGCAAAAGAAATAACTGCTGTTTGAGTTCCAAAAACTATCAGAACTGGCACTATTTCAGCTATGAGATACCAGACTTCCTGGCATTAAATTAAAATATAAACTCACTGATAATCATTGTAACATATACAAGCTAGCTGGTTGTAAAAATCTTAGCCGAGGTCTCAGATTCCTCTCCTCTGACCAAATCAAAGAGGTTGCTGAGAGATTTACAAACCTGTGCATCCGCACCTCCTGAGGTAAACAGCTCTCCACCTTTTGAAAATGAAACAGTAAAGACAGGCCCCTAAGAAATAAAGGGAGATAAAAGAAAAAAGTACTTGGTAATGTGTTTTCACGGCCAAGAGGAGCATTAATTTTTCATCCTAATTTATGCAGACTACCTATGTAATAAGTCTGTGAGAAATACCTAGTTGCTAGTAACTAATGCAGCAAAGAGAAGCAAAGAACACAACCCAGCTACATTAAAACACCTCTAAATGATACTAAGTGAAAAAGAGATACTAATAAAAATGAGAAAACATACATTTCTTCTTTTTAAAGAAAAGCCTGTGTGTGTAAGTTATTAAGAAAATAAATAATACATAAAAATTAAAAACAAATAAAAAACAAAAGATCTGTTAAGATTTTCTGGCTTTGGATTCTTCAACAAATCAGAGCGGAAACTGAATGAGAACTCTGCTGGTGATGGGAACGAGGCTGTGTGACAAGACATCATTTCCTGACCACAGCAGGCTTCACTGAGTTCTCCCTTCATGTGGGCAACAGTGAGCCACTCAAAGTTTTAAAAGCAGGACAGAGATAGAAGGGCCATGACCGATGCACACTGATACCATGACTGTGAGAATGATGAGCTGGAGCAAGAATGAACGGCTGGAGGCTAGACAGGAGGTTACTGCAGTCACCTGGGTGAGAGGTAAGAACATGAAACTGAGCAATGGCCGTGGAGCCGGACAAGACCACAATTTGGCACAGTCACAGCATGACCTCTAGGTCAGTTTCTCAGTCAAGGTAAGAGTAATGACTTCTCATCTCAAAAATATTAGTGTATTCTGTTCATTTTCAGTATGACCTTAATCTATATGAGAACATTTTTTTGGAGGGGGAGGAACATCTTATATTTTTCAAGTAGACTCATGTTATTACAGCCTGATAAACACCTTCCCCTCCGGACTGTGAAAAATTCCGTCTTCATGTGTAGTATTTTCCTCCGATATTATTGTATTTATCTTTTTACATTACTCTGTACTTCCTCCATGGATATTTAAATCCTTGACAAATTTTATTGGTTGTTTATCCAGCCTAAATCCATGGATACGCATGTGTCGGAGCTGGTTAGTGTCTATTTCTGCTTCACTCTAACACAGCTGCGGAACAAACAATAAAGCAAGCAGGAAGTCCAGCAGGATATATGAAGGCAGGAAAAAACCTCCCCTAGACCACAAAGCCCATTCTATTTCTGGATATAAATAGCTTATAACTTGGTTAAAAGGAAGTACCTAGTACCTCTTATAAAAAAAAAAAAAGAGGATGCATTCTAAAAAATTTAGAGAAGTTTGAGTATTTACCCAGAAAGGAAGAATAGTTTCTACACTTGAAAAAGTTTTCCTTCAGTACATTATTATCTTTGTGAGTGTGTGTGTGTGTGTGTGTGTATGTGATTGAACAGTCTCCACAGACAGCACCCACTTCCCCACTGGGTTCTAAACCAAGTGAAATATGAGACAAAAGAATATCACCTTTCGTACTGATGAAGGCTTGTAAAGCGAGAATGTGGCTTTATCTGTGGGCAAATGGGCTTTCTAGAACTGAATCCCAGAATGAGTCAGATTTGAGAATCCAGTCACAGACAAGACTGGACAACAGCAGGCCTCCCCACGAGAAGTATCAGAGGAAAACAGAGAGGACAGGCTCCCAAGAGATTTCTCCTTCTAAACTCACCAAACAGATTAGCAAAAGGAATGAGTGCGGGGGTGTGAGAGGCTCAGAGGGTCAGAGCTAGTGGGACAGGCTCCATGTGAGGGGAAAGATCAGAAGTAAGGAGAAAACGTATCCATCACCATTTAACCGGTCACACCTATACTACATACTGATGAAGACAGCAGTGGAGGATTAATTTAATGGCCACTGAAAGATACATGTTGATTTTGACAAGAATTACAATAAATAATATTCCTAAGAATTGCCTTCAGAGAATAAAAACATAGCCTTGGAAGCAAAAAATAAATTTTGTGATAGCAGCAATGTATGCTACACTTGGATAAACAATAAAGCCATATAATAAAATGGATCAAAACTGTAAAATATATATTATTTAAGAAGCAGAAGTCTTAGCATTCATACCGTATGTCCTTGAAGTGTATATATGAGCCTTCCTTCTAAGAGATCCAGAATCTTAAGTGTACCATCTGAAGAAGCAGTGATGAGATAGTTACCCGAAGGATGGAATGACACACAGTTAACTCCACCGCTGTGAACTGATTTGTAGAAAATAAAAGCAAAAAGCTAAGAGAACAATTCTTGATTCTAAAGATGCCCCTTTACCCTATTATCAGTATTAGGTTGGAAATAAAAATCAATTAGAGGCAATGTCTCCACAGCACCAAAATTCCCTATAGCTCCCCAAAACAAATAAGTAGTTTGGCATCAAACAGCTTAAGCTTCTAGCTCACGAGTCAGAATAGCTTTACAAATGAGTGTCATGGGAAGATGATCTTATTAACCATGTAACAAAAAACTGTCAGATACATTGTCAATATAAGCAATAGCTGATAACCACCAGCTCACATAAGGTATACAACCCAGCCTTAAACTAAATGTAATGACCAGTTAGTGGCTTGGGACAAAGGGTGAAGAGTATGGAGATGGATTTGGAGAAGGGCAGTCTTGACAGCTTGAGAATTCATTTCTGGACACCATCCTTCCAATAGGAGGCAGTATAACACAGCGATCAAAAGTTTGCTCGGCAATGTACTTTGTAAAAATGTACTTTGTAAACAGAAAGACCCATGTCAGTTCTATCAATTATTTTAGCAAGTTACTTCGCCTCTTTAAGCCTCAATTTCCTTATCTTTGAAATGGAGGTAATAATAATAATACCTCTTAGGGCTGTTGTGAGGATTTAGCACAGTGACTGCTACATGATAAATACCATATTTATTAAGAAAGAGAAATGTGGATTTAACACAAATCCACTATACTCTAAGAAATCAATTCAATTCTCTTTTAACTTCAATACACAGGCACAGTAGAATGCTGTTTTCTACCAGTTATAACACCTATTTGTGCTCATGAAACTCCTTCTGAGTTAATTTCTCTCCCATACTTCTCATACAAAGCAGATAACCAAAGTTTGAAAATCTCCCAGGAATTTTTTTTTTTAATCTCAGCCCTGGCATCATTTTTAAGGTCCCCACACCTTCCTCTGCACTTGGGCACCCACCCCAGCTCCTCAGACCAAGCTGCTGATGGGGGCAAACTGTTCTCTAGTCAGTCCAAAGGCAGCTCATGACCCTCCCTAAGAGGACCGAGCCCACGTGAAGAACAGTCCGTCGGTGTAAGAATTTCCCAGAGGAGCCCACTCAACAACTGAATTTTGTTATGGAAACTGTTACCTTGATAATGTTGGAGTAATTTGTTCACTCTTATATCCCAGATTTTCACGGTATGATCAGAACCCGCTGAAGCTATGCATGTGCCATTAGGGTTAAAAGCCACAAAATTTGCAAACCTAGGAAGAAAGAATAAGATGGTTTAATATTGTGATTTCTCTTTACTCTCATCTCTTTATTTGAATTGTAATAATTAAATGTCTCCTTAGCAAACAAAACCATATAAATGCAAAAAGAGAACTGGACTTACCCTACAAAATCTGAGAAGTTATTAACACACTGCTTATTTGTGGTGTCCCAGATTTTAATAGTTTTATCCTCACTGCATGATACAATTAGTCTTCCATCAGGTGAAAACCTGGAAAACACAAGAAAAATTACTTTTGCAGAAGGCTCCTGACAATCACAATCAGGCTGTGCATATGAAATTCCACAGGCCACTGTCATTGCACATGCAGCAAAGTTACAGTCTGCTACCAAAATCTTTCCAGCTAAAATTAAGCACATAAATGACACTGACAGACCATTGTAAAGATCACAACATTCTATGTAGACTAAGCAAGTTTCTTTTCACCTTTCACTCTTTTAGTTAAATAATTTAGTTTCATGGCCTCTGCCCTAGGTCTGCACTGCTTCCAAGCCAAGCACCTTGTTTTTTTTTTTTTTAAAGTACTCTTTACTTCTTTTTTCTATTTTGTCATTTTCCGCTGTTACCCATGTGACCCAAGAGAGCCTCTATTACTCACCCTACCAACCCTGCATGAAGCTTTTGGTAAAACAAACAATGAAAAGGATTGGTGTGTTGAGAATTAAAATTAGATGATATCAACAAAAAAACCACCTCCCCAAGCCTGTAACTTTCTGTTCGTGGGGAGGCCAGACAGCTCCAATCGACTGAAAATAGGAAAACTCACTTCTACAGAACTTCATGGACACACCTTTTATCCACACGCCTCATCAAAAACCAAAGGAGAAAATTCTCAGACATCTTGTCTACTGCTTTTATGCTCTCTCTCCTTTTAAGATCCTTTCCAAGGTTCTTTTTTTCCCTTAAGTGCCATTTTAAAACAGAGACAGAAGAGCAGAAGACCAAAAAGAAAATGAAATTTTTTAGACTATTAGGAAACTATGAATAGTGTTTTCATTTTAATATTTTAGTAATAATAAAACCCAAAAAGCACAGATTTAGGTCATAGAACTGATTAGGTTTCAGTTTTACTTGTAGTTTCCCTCTATGGCAAGATTACTGTAAAAGCCATCAACTAAGGGTGTGGATTATAATTGAAGGTTTTTCTTTTTGTTCTCTCTCACTGTTCCCTCCCTCTTCCTCCCTGTCCTTAAGGCTGGCCTAAAAATAATTCTTCCTAACAGAAACTCTGAATCTAGAATTTATGAATACACCATATTTTAAAAGGGATATAGAAGCATAATTAAATTCTGTGTGAACTAGTCTTTAAAAATTCAAGAAAATAACCTTCCAAGGAAATATCTTTCACACTGGGTAGTTCAAATTGATTGTATGACAACATATTTTATTAATCTTTCCCTTCAGAAAAAAATATGTGAGGAGTGAAGAAGATTCAAATATGAAAGATAGTACTGTAGAAATGTTCCAAATATATGAAACTTATTTTGGTCTATAGACCCTGGGGAAAAAAACCTATTCAGTACCCCCATGAAAATAAACTTTGCATAATAATTGTAAACAACTAGTGCAAGGAATCAAACTGTGCTTCTTAACAAGCTATCTTTTAAAAAATTACTTAATGTGAACATTTTAAATATGAATATTTTTAAGAGATGACCAGATTCTTGTATTTTAAGAAAGCAATGGTGAAAACAGTGTAATAAAATGGAATGATCAGACTAAAAGCAAAGTACAAATATTCTCACTCTATGACATTATTGGCCAAATACCTCCACCACCATCAGCAGCATCACCATTATCCTGCCTGCATTTACTGAGCATCTATGTCCTAGAATGGTTCTTAACACTTTACCTGTAGCAACTCATTTACTCCTCAAAATAACCGTACAAAACAAGTGCTATTGCAGCCTCATTTACAGATGACTAAACCAAGGCACGTAGAGGATCAGTAACCGCCAGTCACACAGGCAGGAAGATGTGAACCCGCCAGTCTGGCTCTAGAGCCAAACCTCTCAGCCACTCTGCTTAAGTCTGACAGAAAGAAAAGTTTCTTCTACTAACCAAATGAGAGCACAGGAAGTTCCGTGTGGCTTCTGTGTAACCACAGAAAGTTCTGAAGTGGAGGAAAACCACAAGGCAAATGCTCTTAGGAGGCTATGTGACTGGGCTCTGCCTGACAGGCTAACCGCCAGTCTATCCTTTAATAAAAACCAGTGTGTCTGATGTCATACCCTATCAGAGACCTTGAGGGACTGATGGGGAAAATATCCGTTCATTAATTCATTCAAACACTTAATTGAGCACCTGCCAGCCCAGGCACTGGGCTCCGTCCTGGGTAACAGGAATATCGCGGTGAGTGAGACCGATAATACCCCTGCCCTCATGAGGCTTTCATTATAAGGAGAAGGATGTAGGGATGGCACACAAATAATATACTTTTAGATAATAAGAAAACAGTTTGTAACAAAAAGGTGCCAGTTTGTCACGAGAAGCTCCACAGAAGAAATAGGATTTTAAAACAACTTGTGAATATGGAAAAGAAGGTATCCTGACCAGCCAGAAATTCATCCTGGGCAGGGGGCTATAGCCTGGAGAAATTTCCCCAGCACTAGAGAAACGAAAGTAGTGTGAGCTTCGGGTAAGTGGAGAGGAGAGGAGCTGGCAGGGACGAAAGAAGCTGGTGCCCGAGGAGGGGGTGTTCCAACCTCCAGCTCTACACAACCCAGGGGAACTCAGGTAAGCACGCCACCCACTCTGGACACTACATTATAATCCCTGCATACACTCTCTGTGTGGTTTGTTTTTTTTTTTTTTGCCTTTGGAGGGGCTGGAGGTTTGTATCTTCTTCTCCCTTTTATTTTTAATTGGATACACAGAAATGGGTTAGCACCAATAAAACAGGCTTCTCTTTGGCCCTGACTTTTATCAGAAAAGGACAGTCCTCTTTTGGTCAGGGCTCAAACAATAACTAACCAGGTTATTAATTTTGAGACTGTTAAGAGGATATAAAATTTCTACCAAGACATTACCAATAAGTTTCTAACTCTCTAACTCAGTACCACCCAACCACTTTTTAAAACATCCAGAGAGTGTGTCACCAAGATGGACATTACATTAGTCAACAGTGACTAATGGATCAGCAGACACGGACTGTCTGTAAGGCACTAGAGAAGTTAACTGAATTATTAGTCAATCCCTTCAAATATATTGGTACTCATTGGAGGAAAAAAGGAAAATCGTGAACTTTTTTCTAGAAAAACTGGTTTACATGTCCTTGAGAGTCACATAACAGGAGTTCTTTAACTTTGAATCTATGGAGTTCCTGAAACTATATATAAAGTTGTAGGTCCACATGCACAGTCATTGAGTTCTTCACTCACTAGTGAGACACACAGGTCCATGAACCCTGAGAAACTTTAAAGTGCTTTCACAGGAAATCAAAATTTCATTTGGATATTCCCTATCATCTGACTAAATATTCTATAAAAACAATATATACATGCATGTGTCAAATCATCACAGAGTGCACCTTACACTTACATAAGGTTATGTGTCAGTTATATTTCAGTAAAGCTGGGAGAAAAAGAACAGCAAAGGCACACAACCCCGACACCCACCAGACACGCAGCTGCATGGAGGAAGGGCTAAGCTTTCTGAGATGAGAGCTTATGACTCAAACCATCAGCCCTCCAAGCGGGAGAAGGAACCAGAAGTTTAACTTGGGAGGAAGACATGCCACATTTAGGAACTAGATATGGTCCCTGAGGACCAATCTGGATTCCAAGGGTGATGGACATCTATTTAGCATCCAATATCTGCCATACCCACTGGCTCCAGCTTTGTAGGGGTAAAAAAGAAAAAAGGAATTCAAGTAAGGGATAGAAAAGGAATAGTGGGGAAAAAATAGAAGAATGAAGGAAATACAGAAAGAAAAATATTCTACCAAAAAAACCCCACAAAATCCCACATTTCTGGCCCTCAGGGCTCTGAGACCAGAGTAGACACTGTTCCATGTCCCTTAAGAAACATATGGTTAGTAAGAGGTACTCTGAAGCCAGCAGATATTCAATAAGAGGGGAAAGCAGTAAAAAACAGTGAAAGTAAGACTGCTCGGTCAGTACCGAGTCCTGGATTCTAAGGCCAACTTTGCAACTGTCCAGCTATGCAACCTTTTGAAACTAAGAACCACCCTGGCCACTGTTTTCTATTTGGATGAGAGAGTTTGGATTGCATTCAGACCTAAAACTTTCATAGACTCATTAAAACAAAAAAGTGGCAGTCTCAGAGTTTGCTTTGATGGGATTTGGGGTTTATATACTGAAGGTGAAGTTCAAGGCAATAAGCAAAACATTTTTTTTTTAAGTGTTGGTCAGCATTAGAAAAGAAATCATCTGTTGAATGTAGTAACAGGATTCATTCCTGTAACTGCTGAGACACAAAAAACGGATAAAAAGAGATATAAAAAGATTTAAGTATGGCACGAAACATGCTAATTACTTGTTGGGTCATTTACCATTTACGTGCCCAGACTCCTTTCCTGGGATCTCCACCCATAAGTACAACTGCCTACTAAGCGTTTCCTCTTGGATATCCTGGAGACACCTCTGACTCTGACCTTGTTCAAATCTGAACTCATCATCGTCCTCTCCAAACTGCTCCTTCTTCAGTGTTCCTTTTCTCAGAAAATGGTTTCTCAAGCCAGAAACCTAGGAGTCAAGCTTGATTCCTTTCTCCTCCACTCACCACATTCCAATCCACTATCAGGCCTTGCCTCTTCAGACCTTAATAGGTCCTGCTGTCTTCTATTCTCCACAAGCAACAGAAGTGACCTTTAAATCTTCAATCAAATTTTTCTGATTAAAACCCTTCAGTTTTAATTTCCTTTGGGAAAAAGTCTGACATCCTTACCCCTGCTTGCCAGGTCCTCCAGGATCTGCCGTCCTGTCTCTTCGACTCCATAACCTTACACTTCCTGGCACCACACCCCTCTTCTCTCAGGTCCTTCCCGAGCCCCAAGTGTTCCCGCACATGCCGGTCCCTGTGCTTCAAACACTGCTCCCTACTCGGCCTAGCTTAAAATTCCTAAGAGGACTTTACTGCTCCTTCAAGTCTCTGTTCAGGGTCAGTTCCTCAGGAAAAGCTTTTCTGAACTCCTCTCCCACAGAAGGTTTGCTCCCCAGTAAGTGTCTTAGAGTAAGCTCACTTACAAC